GCTAAAACGACTGTTCTTATCACTGCTAAAACAACTAATAATGTTCTCGCTAAAACGACTGTTCTTGTCATTGCTAAAACAACTAATAATGTTCTCGCTAAAACGACTGTTCTTGTCATTTCTAAAACGACTTTTAATGTTAGCGATAAAAGCATCTGCTTATGTATTCGCTAAAAACATCTGTTTATGTTTTCGCTGGCAACAACTGTTATTACTTTCGCTAAAAATACTGTTCTTGTCAATACTAATAAACTGTTAATGATATCGATAGAAGCAACTGTTAATGCATTCGCTAAAAACAACTGTTCTTGTTTTCGCTGAAAACAACTATTTTTCATAGAACAAAAAACATCGTTTACTTTTAGTGCTGCAAACAAGTGCTATTCCTTACCCTCAAAATAACTTTCAGTTTTATCAATAAAACAACCGGCTTGAAACCTTTTTTTTGTCGTCATTAAAACCAACTGTGATTTTATCACTAAAAACATCTGTTATACATATAGTTATTATTGTATCTCATGCTAGGTCTTCTACACCGTACATGCAAGTACCCTGTTGTCATCTCGAGTTTCTCTTATTTTGTTACACCGGAACTTCCTTTATAGGCATTGTATCAATGCAAGATAATGTTGTATTGTATGTTGTAATGTCCTCGTAATCATTCTCCTGCAGGTCATCACAGTCCTTCTCTAGGTCCTCACTGTCCTTCTACAGATCCTCATAATATCCTCATAATCCTTCTATAGGTCCTCATAGTCCTTCTACAGGACCTCATAGTCCTTTTACAGGTCCTCAATGTCCTTCAATAAGTTCTCACTGTCCTTCTACAGGTTCTCACTGTCCTTCTACAGGTCCCCATAGCCCTCTTGCAGGTCCTCACTGTCCTTCTACAGGTCCTCATATTCCTTCAACAGGTCCTCATAGTCCTTCTCCATAGGTTCTTACAGCTCTTCTCCAAGCCCTTGCAATCTTATTCTAGGTCCTCATGGTCCTTCTATACAGATAAATACAGTCCTTTTCTAGTCTCTCACAGTCTTTCTCCAAGTCCTCACAGTCCTTTTTCAAGTCATCACAGTCCTTTTTCAAGTCCTCATAGTCCTTTTCCAAGTCCTAACATTCCTTATCTAGGTTCCAAATGAAAAATCATTGCTGGAGAGAGTAAGCTAATGCTAACAGACTTGAACGCCCATCCTGAAGTCTCTTGCGTAAATTTATTATTATTTTTGTTATTTTCGTGAACAACTTAGTTATTTGTTAACTTTGTAATTTAGATATATAAAAGTCTGGTTTGAAATTAATTATGTAGCGTATTCTAGAATAAAGAACAATAATATTAGTTGTATGGCGGTGTCAAACAACTGAAACGTAGCAATTGTAATTTTATGCATATAAGTGGTACACATATCGCAACTCGCGCTTGAAATTGAACAAGTGTTTGAAATTGAACAACACCACATTTCTTGGCAAAGTGAAACTGAATAGTTGTGCATTGGCTGAAAATTTCGTGTAATTTGTAACCGCCAAATCAACGAATTTTCGCAAATCAGGGACAATTTGAACCACTTCAATTTGCTGAGTGTTTGAGCAGCTCGATTATTTCTCGTCAAGCGAAAACGACTCGCACATTTTCCCCTATCATTCAATATCAAATTTGATAAAATATTGAACAAGTCATTGTGAATATTTAAGACTCTGATTACATTATTAAAAATGTATTATAAGAAACTTTGCTTATAATGAGTAAAAATCCAGAAAGTACTTTAAAAATTCTTCTTGCGTAATAATCTAATCCATGCAAACGACCATGAGTAGTTACAAAAATTTTGCATCGGCCGCACAATGAAAATGTCTGAAGGTTTTTGTCTTTGTCGATTAGTTTGTTCTAGGGTTTTTTTGCTTTTCCTTAAGCATAAGCAAGGTTGTTAAAAAATAATTTTGTCGTCCATTAAATTGTTTTTAACGACCGCAGGTTGACAGCGGAGGCGGCCTTAAGAGTCACGCTTAAGCCGCTGCGAATAGAATCGCCGTAGCGATGACGGCCGAGTGGCGCGATAACAGTAAAAGAAATCCTGGTCTAAGCCACACCGGACCTAAGCCACACCAAACTTAAGCCACACCATACCTAAGTAACACCAGACCTAAGCCACACCAGACCTAAGCCACACCAGACCTAAGACACACCAGACCTAAGCCACACCAGACCTAAGCCACACCATACTGACCTAAGCCACACCAGACCTAAGCCACACCGGACCTAAGCCACACCAGACCTAAGCCACACAATACCTAAGCCACACCTTACCTAAGCCACACCAGATCTTAGGCACACGCCCACACCAGACCTAAGCCACACCATACCTAAGCCACACCATGCCTAAGCCACACCATACCTAAGCCACACCCCCACACCAGACCTAAGCCACACCATACCTAAGCCCCACGCCCACACCAGACCTAAGTCACACCAGACCTAAGCCACACCAGACCTAAGCCACACCTTACCTAAGCCACACCTTACCTAAGCCACACCAGATCTTAGCCACACGCCCACACCAGACCTAAGCCACACCATACCTAAGTCACACCATACCTAAGCCACACCATACCTAAGCCACACCGGACCTAAGCCACACCATACCTAAGCTACACCATACCTAAGCCACACCATACCTAAGCCACACCATACCTGAGCCACACCCCCACACCAGACCTAAGCCATACCATACCTAAGCCCCACGCCCACACTAGACCTAAGTCACACCTGACCTAAGCCACACAAGACCTAAGCCACACCAGACCTAAGCCACACCAGACCTAAGCCACCCGCCCACACCAGGCCAAAGCCACACCAGACCTAAGCCACACCATACTTAAGCCAGACCATACCTAAGCCACACCAGACCTAAGCCGCACGCTCACAGCATACCTAAGCCACACCAGACCTAAGCCACACCATACCTAAGCCACACCAGACCTAAGCCACACCATACCTAAGCCACACCATTAAGCCACACCGGACCTGAGCCACACCGGACCTATAAGTCACACCAGGCCTCAGCCACACCGGACCTATAAGTCACACCAGACCTAAGCCACACCAGACCTAAGCCACACCGGACCTAAGCCACACCGGACCTAAGCCACACCGGACCTATAAGCCACACCAGACCTAAGCCAGACCAGACCTAAGCCACAGAAGACCTAAGCCACACCGGACCTATAAGTCACACTAGGCCTAAGCCACACCATACCTAAGCCACACCGGACCTAAGCCACACCGGACCTATAAGTCACACCAGGCCTAAGCCACACCGGATAAGCTCCGTTGAAGAGGTTATAATTTTGGTTTGTGTTATTCAGTTCCTACAGTTACAGTTCCCAACATTTCTTGCAATTCTGTGGGGGCAACCTTCCTCATTTCTTCATATCCCAATTTGAAGATTGAAGCTAACTGCTGTCTCTAGTGCGGTTCAGAGATAGCCTACCAGTCCTTGCTACTGCCAACGACACCGCATCTTGGCCCATTCGTCCGCTTCATCGTCATCATGGAGTGAGACGTTCAGCGTGCGTCTCGTCTAAAGTGACAGGCTTGAGGAGTTGCGAAGATCTGGAGGCTTCAGCAACAGTTCGTCTTCTGACGAAGGACGGGTTCTAGCCGGGAGCTCAGGAGAGGACCGGATGCTGCAGGTTGGTTATCCGTCACTTAACCTGAGAGTGTTGTGGCTATTTGCAGCTGTGGCTGGTTTCCATTATGGATAACCGTCTCCGTTTCATTAATAATCTTACCCAAACGACGAATCCCTCTTAGTCTTCCAACTACATCCAACTTATTACGTTCACACTAATATTACAGCCTTCAATTTAAGGCCGCATCACTATTTTTTAGCGCATTTTCTCATTTACGGAAAAAATGCACCATTGTGCTTGCCATGTCCGTCTGTCCGTCCGTCTATCTGTCCCTCCGTGACTTCACGTTTTCGTCGACAAGAAAATGCGCTCTCTTTCACTCACCTCCAGTGAGTACTGAGTTATATTTTTTAGAACAGCTGATAGGTCGATATATTGAATTAACTTAAAATTTCCATGAATTTAAAAACCCAAACATTCAGCTTGTTATTATTTGCAACAGAAAATTTTAGTGTAAACATTGCATTTAAATCCCTTGGTATTTCGACAGGATGGGTGGCACGGAATTTTACGCGTCGTCAGTTTCTCTGTGCTACCTGGCTGGCTTGCGCTGGCCAGGTGAAGCTCTTGCTCCCGATTCAGAGGACTTCCACCGGGCAGCAGCCTGGGCCAATTTTCACAGGAATTTAGTTTTCCCCTGAACACAGTTACCGATTAATAAAATCTTTATTTTAAGAAGTTTCTTCTCCATCTCTGATTTCGTGGTAATTAAATTTTTCTTCCACTGAAAAAGAAGGTCACGCTAAAGTTTTGTACAATTGTGGCATTAACTGAAATATAGATTTTTTTCGTTCCAAGTCGCCAAAGCGTGCATGATTCGTCAATTAATTATTAAGAATTTTAAATGTCGTTCCTGCCACTTCTTGTGTATGCCAGGGCCTGGATCGTGTTAACACCTGAAAGCAATTAGCAAATAACGCGTTTCAAGTCATTCGCTGTTGCGGTAATTATATATACGAGGCTTAGCTCTGTAGCGTCTCATTGCACGGATATTGGCCGAGGCACCTAGAGTATCAATAAAGTAGTTAGTGGTGTCCTGAACGGTTGAAGGTCGATTACTTAAAACTAATTATTCATGTAACATATATTTTGCTTGTTTTTTCGTTGTTAGTCTTCGCTTTCTTATTGCCTGGTGATAGGCGAAATTTCACTTCTACATAATTTAATGCGTAATCGGTAGAATTAGTTTAGTAGAATGCAGTAGTTTTGTCAAGTAATACGTACAATTTGTTTCCTGATTTTTATGACTGATGAAAAATAAGTCCAAAAAACCGGCCTCACACGCTACCAAGCCTGCCTCACAAACCACCTAGCAGCCTCTCACGCCGCAAAGCCTGTCTCACAAACTACCCAGCCTGCCTCACACGCCATCCAGCCTGCCTCACAAACTACCCAGCCTGCCTCACACGCCATCCAGCCTGCCTCGCATCGCCATCCAGCCTGCCTCACACGCCATCCAGCCTGCCTCACACGCCACCCAGCCTGCCTCACACGCCACCCAGCCTGCCTCACACGCCATCCAGCCTGCCTCACACGCCACCCAGCCTGCCTCACACGCCACCCAGCCTGCCACACAAACCACCCAGCCTGCCTCACACGCCATCCAACCTGCCTCACAAACCACCCAGCCTGCCTCACACGAGGCTGGTCTAAAATTTAAGTGTCAAGACGGGCCATCAAGTCGACGGCCGCTGCTGTATAAAGCGCTGCTGAAGGATGCGCATCCTACGCTCAAGAGGATCTAAAGACTTGCCTCTCATTGATTGCCTCCTAAACCTCGAATTGAGGAGATGAGCAAAGCCTGCAGGAGGATTTTATCTGCACCTCAATCCATCATAAGCACCTCGTTCCATCATGAACCCCTCGTCGCGGCCCCAGACTGCACATCGCACTGCCACGTGGAGACGGGCGCCTGCCACCGACACCGACATCCTCCCCATGTCGTTGCTGGCAGCACACTGAACCTCAAACTTGTAACACCACCGCAAATTATATACCTGAGGTAGTTTTTATATATGCCTATAAGTTTATACATAATATATATCTGATACTATAGGAACCTGACTTGATGAGAAAAATGGACCTGGAACTTTTAGCATCTGTAACTGTAATTACCGAAGTTGCAACTATTTACAGAAGTTGCAACCAAATTTATTAGGCAACGATTACAAGCTTCCGGTAACATGAGCAGGGATCTTTAATTATATATAATCTACGGAAAACAACGCCAGTATTTGAGTATCTAACTCAGTAGAAACGCCTATGTATCTAATGCCTCCTATAATACGTTACCAACTAGCAGATTGAATCTTTTATATAAAATTAGTATTTACTATAGATACATACATACATACGTACCATAAAAATGAAATTTCAATTTTTGAACCAATCCTTTCTCACTATCACACCAAAAATAAATACCAAATAATCTTCCAACACGATAACAATCGTGGATACGCGCTCTATTTATTTGTGGTGCCAGGCTTCAGGGACACAAACAGACAAACCTCGACAAATAAACATTCATAAGGTTATAATACATTAATAATACAACTACATTAATTCGTGAATGCTACCGATTAATAGTGCAGCCATACATCCATGCGATCCAGCAAGAAAGGTGTTAGTGGTAAAAAAATTAGATCAGTACTCACTGCAGTGAGTGACAGGGTGCGCATATTCTCGTCCGTCAGTCCGTGAAGTCACAGACGGACGGACATAACGAGCATAATAGCGTCTTTTTTTTGATAAATCAGAAAATGCGCTAAAAACTGACTAAGGAAATATAAAAAATTGTCGTCTTATCTCACCACCAGGCAACACCACCAGGCAACACCACCACTCAACACCACCTTATCCACGCACACCCATAAGTTACCTGACAACAGGGATACATTGCGAAGGCGGGACAGGACCGTTTAGCGCAGTACTTTCGCTAGCAGGTCGAACTAGTCCGTCAATGACGTACTCAAGTCGCATACTCACAGTTGGCGGACGATCCGGCCGAGCCTTTATGCGGCGCTGGAGCGACTTTTTTATGGCAGGTATGTATGAATGTAAAGTTAGCTTGGACATGCTTGCTTGTTTACAGCCTTGGGGCTGTGCTGGTGCGAGCTTTTGGGGCAGGCATGCATGATTGTTTCGGTAGCTTGGACTTGCCTGCGTATATATTGACTTGCAGCTGCGCTGGTGCGACCTTCGCGGCAAGCATGTACGAATGTCAAATGCTTGCACATACCTGGGTATTTATTAACTTGCCTTGAGGCGGAGCTACTGCAACTGTTTGGGCAGGCATGCGTGGAAGTAGCTTGGACATGCCTGCCTGTTTACTGCCTGGGGGCTGCGCTGGTGCAAACGTTGGGCTGACATGATCACCCGCGGCTGGCTCCCCGACTGCGGCGATTTCTAACTCGGGCAATGAATTTTAGAATTGCAGTTATTACGCTTTTCTAACCTGCTAGTATTCTTTAAAACTTGGGGGCGGCAGGCTCTGTTATTTTCCGTCAGTCTCCTGCAAAATTTATTCAAGTCTTCTTTACATGTTATCACGAGGGTTACGGATCGGCTCAAACAGCACTGACCCGACACGTATGCACAATGACCCGACAGATTGGTTTTATGCACAAGGTATCGAAAAATATGAAACTTTAAATAGGATGTAAGTTTACTAAGTTAGTTAAATTTTTCTGGGAAGAATTGTAACCTTGTTGAGTACGGTCTTGCGGAGCAGAGATTATTAAATTATTGGATAGAGAGAAGGCAGAGCTTCAGAATTTCCCACTTGTTCACTTTACGTTTAACCAGCATGGACATAATCTTTGCGTGTGGAGTGTGTCTGCTCTGGCTCATGTGTGTTATAGCTTCCTCGTGAAATTCCATGCGAGCTTGCTGAACCCCAAACAATATATATCAAAAATCATTTTCTAATTATTTTCTAAAAACATGTATACATCTCTCCTTATATATGCTATATAGTATAAACGGACTGCGGTAGTATAGATCAATGATAATGTTAATTAATATACTTTCTAGAAGTAAACAACGACTTGTAAAAATAATCCCCCGAAATAGACCGGATATCCTATTACACAATCAATTACCACATGGCCTGAAATTTTAAAGCTTGCATGTAATCGATAGCTGCCGTCTCACAATTCTGAGAGCAATGGTCAACTGAAACAGAAGGAAAACACAATTGTTCAATAAAAAATAGCGAATTTGTCGATCTAATTATTTCAAAGCAGTTCAATAGACAGACTTTGCACTTCCTGCAATATACGTTTGATTGAAACCCCATAAAGTCGGATCCTTTAAATGAACTGTGTCCATTAACTCTCATTCATATGAATATCATTGGTCAATAACGCATAAACCTACATCAAAAAATCTTCCGTGAGCAATTGATTGCTCGCATACGTTAAAAGATCATTAATCAATCAGGCGCTCAACTAATTTAAAATATCTTGGGTCAATAACACCTGCTTTTGTTGGAAAATTCAGCGTTTACATCGATTTAAATGTATTGGGGTAAAAAAGCGTTCTCACCCATCAAAAGATCATTGAATGAAGCGTCTACTGGCCACTGATAGATAGTAAGCCCGTCCCAGCCAAGACGCGTCATATTTACTCACGTCTATCACGTGTTTATTCAGACGCTGAAACAAATCTGCCTCAATGCCAGCCTTGAAAAAACACGGTGAATATCTTCGCTTCTCTTCAAACGCACGCAAATAGAATACAAAGAATTTTATGAAGTATAAAATTGCCGGCGCTAACATGTCTGCAAATACTGATGCGCAGTCGGCGCCTTAAAATTCCAGCGCAAACCCAAACGCCGTAAAAGCTAGCACAAAATTTGTAGAGAAGTAAACTGGAGCGAAATAAATTTTAAATTACAGTCTTGATTTTGCCGGCCATTTGGGTGGTATCATTGCCTGCCGATGAAACTGCTAAGATTCTCAATAATATTGATCGCTCTATTGGCACAGAATGAAACTTTCGGGGAATTTGTTATATTGCAATGGAATTTGGTGATGATGATGGATTCATGATTTTCATTCCTGATCCAGAGTGATCGTATTCCTGAAGAGCCGAATCATTTTGATGAATTAATTTCCTTTCCAATATTTAACAATGATATATATTAGAGTTTATAAATATAAATTATTATTACATAAAAATAGTAATTATATAAATATATTACATAAATATAAACTCAAAACGCGCTTCTACACCGAGTAACATTGTTTAGTATTTTTCTCTGGCGATAATTTGTTGTAAATTCAATTATTGCGAAAGAGGAAGTTTACAGTTGGTATTATTTCATATAGTGAGATGACAAGAAATGTTGATATAGATTTGAAGTGAAATATACATGAAATGATATATATGGTCATGGAATATTCGCATCATTTCAACTGCTCAACAATCGAGTGATCTTATTTCTGTAATATTCGTATAAGAGTTAATCTATATTGATGGAAGTATTGGCGGCACAATTAATTAAAATAATCTTGCATGCGATTTTCTAAAAATATTTGTATCTAGAATGAAGTTGTTTAACGAAGTAAAAATATCAACATTCGTCAGTAATAAAAAAAAAACAAGAAAGAAAGTTCATATATAAAAGTATGAACTTTCGTATGTATTTCTTATTGAATATAGTTGAAAAATCAACGGAATATTACATGATCACGTCTGATCACACATAGATTTGATTAATTTCAAGGTCATTATTAACTCGATATGCAAATTTTCAAGGTCATCAGCTGATAAAAAGAGTGTACAATTACTCCCTCGCTTTATAAAAATACTGAAATAGTTAAGCTTTCTTAATAACACCGCACAACGAATCTTACCCTAAAAATTACCCACGAAAGAAATGTAACCAAAGCCTTTTGCATTTTTTCTGGCGAAAAATTGTTCTTCCGACCGAACCAAAGTGAGCTCAAAGTTTGCGAATTTGCTACGGGTTGTTTGATGCCACTTTTGAAGGAATGGTCGACTCTAATTGCATGGTTTGGTCTCCAGTTACGCAATGAAGACGTAGCGTGGGATAAATTGCATGTTACGCCAGGCCTAGGGGATCATTGCATGTTACGTCGTACCTAAGAGATCATTGCATGTTACACATGCCAGAGGTACCTTTGGAGAAGCTCCAGAAAATCTTGGCTGAGAGAGGTGAGATTTGTCCCAATTTCAATCGCTATATCTTACTATTAATCACAAAAGTATGAACGCTCATGGGTAGCAAAATTCTTGCATAGAAGCGGCCGCAATATCGACCGTTTCAGACATCAAACATAAACACACAAACTCATTAAAATAATTATAAGAAGTTTTTTGCATCTGAATGAGAATTGTTTTGCCTGCCTCATTTCGGCGATATTGTTTTAAAAATTATCCATACATCCTATGGGCTATATGCATTTTCATCGATACTCCTTCCTTCCCAGCGGCAGTGAAATAACACCAGAAATTTACCTCGACTAGCAACTGCCGTACAATAATGTCTCTCAACTGCAGGCCTGAAAATCACGCCTACTAGTGACATCAGCGAGAGACGTGGAAGTGAAGGCTATACGTGACAGAACCACGACACGCGGAAGTGAAGGCTCGTAGCGTCATCAACACGACACGTGGAAGTGAAGGCTCGTTTCGTCATCAACACGACACGTGGAAGTGAAGGCTCGTAGCGACATCAACATGACACTCGAAAGTGAAGGCTCGTAGCGTAATCAACACG